TCTTGACTGAGGGAGATGGAGAATTGCCTGAAGATTCTGAACAGGTAGGGAAATGACTTGTAGGACATTTTGGAGGATCTTTGGTTGCAGGAGGGAAGCAAAAGATGAAAGCAGAAAGATCAAGGGGCACTTTTTAAAGTTATGCTGGCTTGGTAAAGATGGTACCGTGCAGGCAGTTGAAAGTGGGCCGTATTCTAGATCAGTTTTAAAGGTAGACACTTTGCAAATCCTGGAGGAATGGTCTCATTTTGTTTCCTTACTTCCTACCTCTGCTTCCTGAGAGAGGAGAATAGATTGGTTCAGTGTGGATTTGTGTACCAGTCTAATTCTGTACTAGTAACAGAGTCATCATGCTGTCTCCATGGGCAGGAGATGATTGTGGATAGCTTCCTTGAAGGAGCTGTGTTTGTGGAAGGCACCATTTTGACATTCTCACCATGGTGTTATAGCTAACAACTTCTTTTAAGGTTTATTTGCAAACCCATCATCCCCCTCTCCTTCCCTATAGATCTGGTACTTTAGCTACATTTTATCTGGTATATTTGTATGACCTCATGCCTTTGTTCCTGTTGTTTCCTCAACTGAGGACACTTCTTTTTTTTTCAACTATCATAGCTATGTACTTCAGCTGGCAACTCTGTTGGGGTAAAGTAGTAAGAAGACTAGCAAAACAAATTCTGGGAAAAATGAAATGAAGTTGCAAAATAAGCCCTTTTGGTGATCTGGTGAATGAAAGGGCTTCAGTTGAGTAGACAACTAGCCAGGATTCTATAGCATTTCTGGGGACTTTAAGCTTGATTCCAAGAGGAAACCAGCACCTCAGAAAAGACACAGAAAAAGCTGGGCGTTGGTGGCTCACACCTGTAATCCTAGTTACTCAGGAAGCTGAGATCTGAGGATCGTGGTTCAAAGCCAGCCCGGGCAGGAAAGTCCGTGAAACTCTTATCTCCAATAAACCACCAGAAAACCAGAAGTGGCGCTGTAGCTCAAGTGGTAGAGTGCTAGCTTTGAGCTGAAGAGCTGACACAGAACAAAGGCTCTGCATGAAGGTGGCCAATGTAAACAGTAGAGCCCTCAACATTCCTTTTGGTAGGAAGGGGACTAGAAGATAAGAAGCTTGAGAAAACCACTAGTGTCTCTGGCTCCCAGTTGATGGTAAGGCAAGCAAGGATCCTTGTCTGGGGGCCTGGAGACAACGCTAAGCACTGAGAGCCACGTGTCTGCTATATAATGAAGGCAGCATTCAGTAGGTTCAGCAAACCCAATGTCTTAGTAACTTTCAGGAACTCCCTTATTGGATATGAAGTAACAGGAGTTCTACCTCCAAACGTGGAGTGTTCATCTTCCAAAGAGCACAAGACAATCCATTTGGATATGAGAAGAAAATACTAGAACTTCTGTTTCTAGGAACAATTTTGTTCTTTTTCTATTTAATGTTTTGTAAGCTTCATGTTGGTCCAGTAGCACACTTGTAGAAAGTATAAATAAAAAGACATTTAGACTGTGAGTATATAATCAGAATTCTTTTGCAGATAAGCTGTATGACCAAAGAGGTTTGAAGATCATTCTTGCAGGAGACTGGTGGCCAAACCAGGGCTAAATGGGAATGGCATTTGCTGAGATGGAGCATTTGAAGGAATCATGGGTGAGGAGGGAGAAGAGGTTAGGTGTTTTCTCTGATTTGTTGGTGGGGGGGGGGTGTCTTGCATATTCCTTAGTGGTGGCTTGATAAGGGATGAGTCTGGATAAGCCAGCTTGAGGAAAGGAAAGGCCTTTGGCATTTTGGTGGGAAGGAAGTGTCTGGATCACACTGCCTCAGTCAAGGGGGACAATCACTCCTTCGTCTGAATGAAGGTCCTGCTTGCAGCAACCTCTTGAATTGGGGAAGTTTCCTGGGATGGAATAAAAAAGTCTCCTAGGGAAGACAGCAGGTGGAAGCTAGTGCCTGTGTGTTGTCAAGAGTAGAGGAGAGTTTGAGCTCAGGGGATATTGAAAGGATGGACAGGGGCCACTTTTAAGTATCTCTGATGTGGTAGGACAGTGCGGACATCCTTTCCAAGAAGAACGGAGACCCAAAGACAGACACAAAGATCATCCATTTGTTACCTGGGTCCAAGAACAACAAGGATGTCTAAAAAGATCAACAATTCTCCAACCCCATCTCAGAGACCCATCAGGAGACACATAGGAGTGCACAGACTGAAAGAAATTCATTCAAATGCAGGAAGTCATTGATTCAACTGCCCAGCCAAAATAGGTACCTGTGTTTGATGGTTGTGGAATATACCCAAGCTGCGGTACAGGGTCAACAATCCCAGTGGCTGCTCCCTAGGGCCTGGGACTCTTGGGGAGAGGAGAGGGGCAGGTGAGGTCCCAACAGTGAGTTCTTGAGGTTTCTGTGGGGCTGCCATTCTCTAGGTCTAGAGGTAAATGCAGAGCAAGGAAACTTTCAGCAAGTGTCTGAGGCCTCCTTGGTCCCTTGTACAGACTCTGGGGTAACATTGTATCTGCCCACTTGGGGAGCCCAGGAAGGACACAGGACCACAGACCACACCCACTTATTATGTAGAGGGCCTATGATGTTGCATTCTGAGAGCCTGCACCCTAGATCTGGGTGCCAGGGCAAGTGGCAGGATGACATGACTGGCTTGGTACAGATGCAGAACTCTAAAGCTAACTCTAAAGTTTCAAAGAGAGAACTCTTGGCTGGAGGGTGAGGGCGAGGAGCAGAGAGTGGATGCTAAATAACAAGATTATCCCAGCCATCACCTACACTCAGCTGCTACACAGGAAAGTTTCAGCCAAAGTCTACAGGGGACCAAAGTGAGAGTGGAGATTATTGACAGAATTACTGAGGATCAACCAGAGACAGGCCCATCCCAGAGTCAGGGAGAGACAAACCTGGAGCCGTGGGGAGTGACATACAAAATTTTATTATTATTATCATTTATTTATTATTTATCATGTGCACAAGAAAAAAAAGAGGAATCAAAATGAACCGACAAGCTGAAAGTGGCTGAGAAACCATCTTGGTCAGGGGACCTTTCTAAGATTAGGACTGGTTCTGGGTCCCAGACTCCTGCCCCTGCCAGCCCCACCAGGACTGGAATAGACTGAGCCACCAAATAGGGACCTTGTCGCCCGCCCGAGGAGACCACTTGGAACCTGGCTGGGCGCCGGCACTTCCCTTACGCTATTCTCTTTTCTCACTTTCCTTTTCCAATAAAAATTAAAAAACAAAAACAAAACAAAACAAAAAAAACCCCACAAAGGCTCGAAGGGAAGAGAGATCTGGGCGAGGACTCCAAGCCTTTTTGGATTTGTTCAAGGATTTTTATTTATTTATTTTCACTTTTATTGACTTTGTTTCTGTTATTTCGAGTCGTCACGATCCACGGGTGAGGAGACATGCAGGGAGAGCATCGCCGCTACCGAGAGAGCAACTACAGGGCGGGGCAGGGTGGCCCGGCCACCCAGGGCGCAGCAGAGAAGGGCCAGCCCGGAGACTGGAGCTGCCACCTGTGATCTTGCCTGCGAGGGCAGAGCTGGGAGAGAGAGAGTTGGGGGGGGGGCAGAGACAGGGAGACAACCAGAGGTCAAGACGCAGGGAGACGGAGACAGAGGGAGAGAGCAGCGGAGAGGAAGGGAGGTGAAGGGTGCAGGGGGTGAGGTGGGGGGGAGAGATGCCAGGAGGAGAGAGCGAAAACACGGAATTACAGAGAAACAGCCAACAAAACAGAGGCGAGAGGAGTCCACGGGACCATGTTCGTCATTTTGCATAGAGATTTCTTTCTTTCGTAATAGTTTTGTAACATTAAAAAAAAAAAAGTTGTCCCCCTCCTCCAGGATGTGCTGTGCATCAGCGGGCGCGTCGCGGTGTCCCCTCCCCCCAGCGAGCGGCGACTCTCACAGCACACACAGCGGGGCTTATCTACAGGCAGGGCTGGCGGGGCCGGGGACTCCACGGGGCGGGTGCGCGGAGGGGGAGGAGGTTATATACACGGGGGTTCGCCTTCACACGACACACACCGTCTTTCTAAAAAGCAGCAGCCTGTTGGTTTTTTTTTTCCTTTCTCTCCTTTTGTTCCTTTTTTTTGCAAAGACCATCCTATTAAATAAGTGTAGGCTTTGTTTTTGTTTTGTTTTTCGGTTCTTGTTCATTTCCTGCCGGAGAGGGAAGGGTGGGGTGGAGTGGGCAGTCGTCCGCTTTCCATCCAGCCGTCCACGGCTCAGAATGGGCTCCTATAGTTGGCAGGTTGGGGCATCTGTGTCAGGGGACGGGGTGCCAAGTAACTGCCCCCGAAGACCAGTACCTGTGGCCTATGGGATGGGGTCCTGCAGCGGCTGGGGGGCGGGGCGGGGGGAGACGGAGGGCGTCCCGAGAGGCAGGGACTTAGGAACCACGGACGCCGGGCGTCTTAACCTGGGGAAATGACCGGTAGCAGGGGAGAGGGAGTGAGCGGCCAGCAGATGAAAGACGCTGTGGTAGGGCACCGGGCGGTCCAGATGGAGGAAAAGAGCCAAGAGCTGGGCTCGGTGGGTGCCCATCGCTGGAGCCTACATGTCTTGGGTCCCCACAACCTGCGAAAGACTTGACACTCCAAACGCCGTCCGTAGAGCACCACCCTCGGGCGCACGTTCCGCCTTCCGGGACCAGGCACACCCGAAAGGCGGGGCAGCGCTGCCAGCGCAGGTGCCAGGGAATCCCCTCCCCCCCACAGGTGGCTCTTCTTCCTTCTGCAGAAAGTCGTTTGGTGCGTAATTTCCTTTGCCCAGCGCCCCCCCCCCCAGCAAAGCCTCCCGGAGCCGGAGCGCCCCCCTCCCCGGCAGGCTGCTCGGGGCGCTGGGCCGCGCTGCAGTAGGCGTTGATTGTGTGTCACAGAAATGTATCTCGTCCCCAAGGTGGCGGCCCGGCCGGCGTCCCGCAGGGGGCGGACCCGCTCCCGGGCGGGCGGCTTCTACCAGGCCCCAGAGAGTTTTGGCTGGGGCACACCTGGCGACGCCGCACAGTCCCAGGCGGGCGCGGAGGGGCGGCGGGCGGGGCCTGGGCCGGAGGGTCCCGCCCGCGGCTCCACCCGTCCCGTCCGGCCTCCGGCTGGCTGACGAGAGGGCTGCGGGGGGTCTTGGGATGGGGGTGGGGCTGGGACGGTGGCCGAGAGGCTTCGCGTCGCGTTGGTCCTCCCTCCCTCCAGGGTGGGCGGTCAGACGGGGACGATGTGGAGGCCGAAGCTGTCGGCCTGAAGCTTGATGTGGTCCCCGCGGTAACTAGTGGCGGTCATAGGCAGCGGCAGCAGCGGCAGGGGCGGAGCCCCGGGGGGCGGCACTATAATAATAAGGGGAACCTGGAAGTTAACACAGGAGAAGAATGGGCTGGGTGAGAGGACAAACAGGAGAACAAAAAAAAAAGGAAAGAAAAGCAAAGAAAAGACCTCCCCGGGCTGGGGTCCAGAGGGATCAGGGCTGGGAGCCCGTGGCTGGGCCGCCCGGGCCGTGGCCCTGGAGGAGAGCTGCGTTCGCGCGCGCTGGGGTGGGAGAAAAGGACCCAACTGGTGACACGGGCTTCAGACTCTCTAGGGGGTTCGAGGGCGAAGGCGACGCCCGGGAGCCTTCCAGTGATCTGGGAGGGAAGGAAGGAAGGGACGAGGCCAGAGGCGCAGGGGTTCTCCAGGGATTCCCGGGCCTCTGCGCTGCACTAAGGAGCCCCGCTTCCTTGGGCGCAACCGGACACCCGAGGTCAGGGGGCCGGGAAAGGCGCCCGCGTCTCGAAGCCTCACCGCCGGGCGGGCGCGCGGAGCCGCCGGCGGGCCAGCCCGGTGGCGTACTCACTTAGTAAGGCGGGGTTGCTGAATCTCCAAGCCTCGTTGTAGGCGGTGTACTGGGGGTGGCTGTACGGGTTGCCAGAGAACTCGCTCCCTGCGGGAGGGTGGGGAAGTGGGGATCAGACACCCGCGCTCCAAGGCGGGCTCATCCAGTCGGGTGGGGACGGCTTCTGCGCCCCCTTCACCCCTAGTCCCAGGTACAAGGCCAGGCAATGGCAGGTGCGGACAGGTCAGAGGCGAGGCCGTCCACCTGGTCCACGTGGGGAGAGCTGCCGGAAGGCGCCTGGCAAATTGTGGCGGGGGAGGGGAAGATCATCGCTGGGGTGCGGTGACTGGGGCGTGCCGGGGCTCCCCTGCGGAGGCGCTCCAGGCCACTCAGGCAGGGCTAGTTCGAGGTCTGGGTGTGCCCACCCCCAGTAACCTGAAGCCAAGGGCTTTTATAGCGAACACTGTGATTCTGGGAGGCACAGCCCCACAGGGTGGAGGCGAGGGAGGGTGGCGAAGAGAAACCCTCGGGACACTTTGTCCCAGAAAGGCCTAAGAATGGCATCTTAGAGCGGTGCCAAACGTAAGGGGCGGAGAGCTCTGCTGGGAAATACCCCCTCCCTTCTTTCCCTCCGGAGGTTTTACGCGCAGGCCTCCCGGCAGGGGGAAGAAGCCGCCGGAAGCCAGTGGAGTGCCCGCTGGTCGGGCAGCAGCTAGCCAAGGGCCCGTGGGCTGGGAGCCGTCGGAAGCTGCCTCCCTCCCTCTGGGGAAAAAGGCCAGGCCTCCGGGTTTCCCCCTCGCCCTTTCTCCTGTGTGATGACCCTAGACTGTTTACAGTGATCCCTAACCGCGGGTTAAGTAGAGGAGAAGGGGCCCCTCTCGGAGAGGGAGCTGGGGTGGGGGTGGGGGATGCAGCCACTGGAAAGCCTGTTTATTGACGAGGAGGGAAAGCATGCGTGCAGCAGGATAATGAGCTTCTGAGCTCAACTGTGACCAAGAGGAACTGAGCTATCTCCTTCCCCATCGCTAATGAAACAAGTGTAATTTCCTCATCAGCACTAGATTCTGTTTAACGACTCCCCCCTTGCCACCATGAGCTCTCGGCGGCTCCCCTCATCCCCACCTCCCTACAGACTCTCCACCCTCACCCCTCCCCACTCTTCCCTCACCCCCACTTCTCTAACACCTCCTCCAGCCTCCACTAGCTCACTTGCTGGGACCTTACTTCCAAAGAATCTCCTTGATTCCCACAAAAGTGCTTGCACTTCTTTCTCCAGATCTGGGCAGTAATCCTTTCACCAACACTTATACCTCCCTTCAGCCTTTTTTCTACCACACCTTCCTGCACTCTCCCTGTTTTTCTCATCCTCAACCCAGCTTTGCTTACCCAGGGCTGCCCTTGGGTGATCCTAGATGGATGAGTTCAGTCAACCTCTTCTATCCTCTCCCTCTTCCCCTACCAATGAGAAACTTCTGGGACGGGACACAAGGCTCTCCAGAAGCAGAGGGTTGTAGGCTGGGATGAATTTTACCCTCTTTAAGGCAAGAGGTTTTGGTGTTTCTGCAAATAGGAATGTCAACTCTCTGGCTTCAAGTTCTAACCCAGGACTGTAATCTAGGCTGAGGGATAGGATATCTTGACCTTCGCTTGCAATCACTGGCTCCTATATATGGCCTCTGCACCCCTGAGCCAGGCAACCCAAGACTGTGGGTGGGGCAAATTCTGGGGAGCAGTGAGGACCTGGATCATCTGGAAAGGTTTGGTATATTCTTGCTTGTCTCTCTGAAGGCAAAATCTCTCTGTTTTGCTTTTTTTTTTTTGCCATAGGCTGTTCTCAGCTCCTCTTAGGGATGAGTTCCCTCCTCTCTTGAGTTTGAGGTTGGTTCTCCATCTAGTCTTCCCCTGTGACTTGGTGTGGACCCAGAGTGGCTTTGTCTGAGTGACTGACATGACCCTGGAAATGGTTCTTGGTTCCGAGTTTCCATGGAAACCGGGGCAGGATCTTCTAGGCAGTGTCAGCTGACTAGGGTGGGCTACAGCACTGAGGGTGGAGCTGAGGCTTAGTGTTCCTAGGGCACAGGCTCTGGTGGGTTGGTGGGGGGGGGCAGGGAGCCATGACACAAAGTCATGCGCACTTCTGTAAACTCTCCCTGGATTGCTCATGTGGGAGGATGAGGGGCCAACTGCAGCCCCCAGAGAAAGAGAGAACAGAATAACAATGGTTTGTAGGGAGAGATGTTGGGTATCTCCCTCCTCCCTGCCCCGGGGCCCCACACCCTTGTCTGCCCACATCCCCAGCTTCAGACTAGAGACCACTCAGAAGCTCTCCCACACTTAGTATCGCCCACCTAGCAGTTACCTACCAGGCACCATTCCTGCCAGGGTGGAGGTGGGGTAGCTTCCCTGGCCAGTAGGGGGTACATGAGGGGGGTAACCAGGCAGGGTGGTGCTCGCCATGTCACGACCTGGAAAAACACAAAGGGGAAGGGGTGAGGGCTGGAAGAGAGGGTCTGCCTCTGTTTACGTTGGTATATACCAGGGAGAGCTCTGAGCAGATGTGTACCTGAACAAGCAGGTCTCTGGCTGCCTTGGCAGAGTCAAGCTTGTTACCTAAATGACTGAGTCCACCACTAGTTGTGTGTGTTACTCCCTTCTGTGTCGCTTTGGATCTCTGTGCATCTGTTTTTCTTCTCATTCCCAAACCAGATGGAGGTGACCTGGTTTTACTCCTCCCTCTCAGAGAGATAGTCAGCTGTGGCCTCTTCTGGGGCCAAATGGACCTTTGTCATCTTGCTTACCTCTCCCTTCCTAACACCCCATCTTCCCTTCAGGCTTGGATTCACCACCCCCCTCCAATTCTACAAGGGCTGACTGGCATTTCCTGTCCTCTCCAAGTTGAGCTGGTGCTGTGTCTGGCAGATGTGGAGGGTAGGGACCAGCCAGTGGAGTATTTTGCTGGTAGCGATTGTGCATTTGCAGGATAGAAACCATTCACCTCCTTCCTGAGATAAATCAGGAACTTTGAACCAACGGTGTGGTGATCAGATTAAATTCCAATGAGCAAAATCTGGTATCTCTACCAGTGGCTGAAGCCTCCTGTTAGCTAACAATGAGCTCTCCTTAGCTAGTAGAGGAGCCGGGAGATTCCCCAATTCACATATGATTCTTCTGAAACACAGTTGCATGTGATGGCTGTCCTTCCTTATCTGTCCCCTCCACTGCTATGACATTTAGCATACTCCAGTTTTTAATGATGATATTTGGTCTCTCCCATCTCCCACACTCCCACATACTAGAGGCTATTCTGTTCTCTCTTGGGGCCCATGCATTCTCTGTAGGGTTCCTTTATTGTCCTTGCCAGCTAGTGCCACTCTACCTCTCTTCTAGCCCAGAAAGGCAAGATATAGCTGAAGGAAGCCATAGGTCTCTGCACACCTTGTCCAGTTCACTCTTTTCTTCAGTTAGATACTAGTCATCATCTTCCCATTACTATTCTAAACTACCTTTCATTCTTTCTTCCTTTTCCAAATTAATGAATGAGTTAATTAGAGATGGGCCTCACTAAGGTTGTTCTCTAACTTAAGATGCTCCTGAGCACTCTTCTTATAAGCACCGTGCATTAACCAATTGCGTCACTGTAGCTACTGAGCACTCTTTTAAGTACTCAGATTATAGGCCTGGAACATCATGGCCAGCTAAGCATCTTTCTTTGCTACTGTCCCCTTGAAGATGACCTCATTTCCTACCACCTTCTTCACCTCCACCTAGATGCTTCTGAGTGCTTTTTCTTTCTCTAAGTATACAGAACTGTGGCTCAGTATTTTTGCATTTCCAATTGCCTGCTGTACACTCTTATTCACTATCGCTTTGTCACCTCAAACCTAATAAGAAGGCAGACTCACCTTTCCCCTCAGTCAGTGCCACTAACCCTTTTGAAGACAGCAAGACCAACAACTTTGGGGTCCTTGACACAGCCTTCATCCATCCTCCCCCACTATATGAAGTCAGTCACCAAGGATTGTCAGTTGTCCTTAGTTATCTCTGTCGCATACATTTCCATTTCCTCTACCACTTTCATAGTTCAGCTCCTAAGCGTCTGCCCATGGTTGGCCATAAAGGTTGGCTTCTCCTGTCCATGCCAAATATGGCTGCTTGGCTAGCCTCAAGAAACATTTCTTGGGCTAGTAGAGTGCTTGCCTAGCATGCTTGAAGCCCTGGGTTCGATTCCTCAGTATCACATACACAGAAAAAGCCAGAAGTGGTGCTGTGTCTCAGTGGTAGAGTACTAGCCTTGAGCAAAAGAAGGTCAGGGACAGTGCCCAGGCCTGAAAGAAACATTGCTTTCATCACACATTTCCCTTGGTTAAAAAAACAAAACAAAAAACACCATTGAGGCTATAGTTTGAATGTTAACTGAAGGCTTTCTAAGCCTCCTGGTACTCTCTCCACCCAAGTTCTCAACTCTGATGTTCACTTTTCCTGGTTTAGTTTGACTGCTTGCTTGGTTGCCGGCTTTTCTGCCTGCCTTCTTTTCTTCCTTTCTTTCTTCTTCTTCTTTGTCAGTTGTGGGGCATGATCTCAGGGCCTGGGCATTGTGCCTGAGCTCTTTTTGCTCAAGGCTAGTGCTCTACCACTTTGAGCCACAGTGCCACTTCCAGTTTCTGGTGGTAAATTGGAGATAAGAGTCTCATGGACTTTTCTGCCTAGGCTGGCTTTAAATTGTTATCCTCAGATCTCAGCCTCCAGAGTATCTAGGCTTAGAGTTATGAGCCACTGGCACAGGGGCAGTTTGACTGTTTTCACTGTGCATTCACCATGAACTTTCCTTCTTCCTTATTCATAGCTTTCTTCTAGCTCAAGCCTCAAAATCCCTACCATTCTGCTCATCAGGGCAGTTTCTCTCTTAAGCAGCTATAGGATGTTTGTTTTCCATGTCTTTATAGGGCATAAATGTATCAGCCCCGTTGTTTCATGTCACAGTTTGCTTCATCAGACAGATCATAAGTACTCCAAAAGCAGGACTTGACTTCTGCTTTTCTTCTTTCCTTTCCTTTCCCTCCCTCCTTCCCTTCTCTCTCTCTTTCTTTCTTTCTGTCATTCTTTCTTGCTTGCTTGCTTTCTTTCTTTTCTTTTTCTCGGTCCTGGGGCCTGAACTCTGGGCCTGGGCGCTGTCCCTGAGCTCTTCAGTTCAAGGCTAGCACTCTACCACTTGAGACAGTTCCACTTCTGGCTTTTCTGCCTGTGTTCTGCAAGGCAAGCACTCTACCGTTGAGCTACCTTCCCAGCCTCAACTTCTGCTTTTCTGAATAGTTGAGAACACAGTAGACAACCAATAAATACTTGTTGATTAATTTCCTAGCCCTTGATTGCACTTACAGCCAATTCCTAATAAGTTATAATTGTTTTCTAATTGTTTCATGTAAATCTAGAACAAAATGTGAATGTTTGAATTTGTTTTTTTCTTTAAAACAACTTAAGCAATAGCATGATGAAAGATTAACAGTGAGACACATCTATTGTGACTCAGCTTTATCATTCAATAGAATGCTTTTCCTCTATACTTACTAATGTAAGTATTTCCTAAAACTCAAGAACTAAGTAGAACTACCATGTAAGAAATCACTTTTGTAACTTACAGTGATAGAAGAATTGAGTTTTGCTTTGTTGTGGGTTTTCTTTTCCCTCATTTGGTCCTACTTCCATCTCTCTCTCTCTCTCTCTGCTTCCTTCTTTCCTTCCTCTCCCCCCCTCTCTTTCTTGAACTGGGACTTGAACTCAGGCTTCACACTCTTGCCTGACTTCCCTTCAAGGCTGGTTCTCTACCACGTGAAACATAGCTCCAGCTCAGCTTTTTTGCTAGTTAATTGGAGATAAGAGTTTCTCTGTTTTGTCTGCTTGGGTTAGCTTCAAACCATGATCCTATGATCTCAGCCTCCTGAGTACCCAGAATTCTAGGAATGAGCCACTGATGCCCATTGATATAGAGGATTTAAAACTAGAAAGGCATGGAAATCTAATTTCTTCTGGCCTCCCCATTTTTTTTCTGGTCCTGGGGCTTGAACTTGGCTCGGGCACTTCCCTGAGCCTCCTTTGCTCAAAGCTATTGCTCCACCACTTGAGCCACAGCTCTACATCCAATTTCCTGTCCAGTGATCAATTGGAGATAAGAGTATCATAGACTTTCTTGCCTAGGCTGGCTTTGAACCATGATCCTCAGATCTCAGCCTCCTGAGTAGCTAGGATTACAGGCATGAGCCACTGGTGTCCGGCTTGGCCCAGTGATCTTAATGTCTAATTATAAAGAAGCCAGTTAAAGGCGTATACCTTTTTAAAAATAAAATTTAAGTGCATGTGAATTCTGGCCTTCAGCTGTATATGAATATGAATTTCTAATACTCTAAGGTTTTGCCACAAAACCTTCAGGAGAGAGGAAGAGAGGCTAGGTGACTAGAAAGTTATGTGCAGTTAACCTGCAGGCAATCCTATTGCAAAGTTTATTCCCACTGGCTTTCTCACTTGCAAAATGATATGGCCAGCTTCCAGCAGGTTGAAAGCCACCCACTGAACTGTTGATTAGAAGGAACATTTCCAAATTCTATTTTTAAAAAACGAAATCTTGGAAGCACCATGCAGCAATTTAAAAAATGTACAAAAGGTCCATGATGAGACAAAACAGTCAAGCATCCTAGCACATGACATATGGTCGTACCCCATTCCGTAACATCAGTGTCACCACCAAGTGGAGCCTGCTGAAGACCCCTGAGTCAACAAAGATGCAAGCTGCTGCATACAAAGCATGCTCAATGGTTTTATTAGTACACAAGTGCTACCTGAAGAGCAGGAAAAATATTGACCCAACTCTTTTCAGAGCCATATATTTTTCTGGAATATATGTTGTCAATAATAGAAGCATATTGCAGGATGTTTTCAAATGACTAAGCTCGTCATACTATTTGCCCAGCAGCATTCTTTGAGCAAACCTCCTTTGGTGAGGGAATATCGATGGCTAATGAAATTTGTGTGAGGAAGAATTGACAGAGCACTGGGGGCTGCAGTACTGCAGAGAGACAGATGGACGTAAAGACAACTCTAAAACTGCTAATATGGCATTGCCACGTTCTTTACACAAACAAGGCAAGGCACAGAAACAGAAGAAAACAGCTACAAAGTAGAACGTATCAGTTATAAAATATGTGCCATCCACCAGCAGAGAGGAAGCAGTAAGGTATTTGCTCTGCTTACTGATAATACCAGCAACATGAAAACTGCACAGGAATTGCAAGTGGTGTAAACTTGTCCTGTAAGAGGTAAGAATCTCATATTGACCACTATAAGAAGGTGGTTACTTGGTTTATAAGGATACAAAGCTTTTGTAGATAAAAGAGCATTTCAGTTGATTATCAGCCTAATATCCTGTTATAAAGATGAGAAAACGGAGACGTACAGAGGTATTATGACTCTCCTG